TCTTTAATATTGGCCAGTCTACACAATCAAATGCCTTGACTATGTCTAGTGATAAAATACCTGCCTTTGGTTTATCTTTTTCTATATTATATATAATATTCAAGACCCTCCTAGTTAAATCCTCCATTTGTCTGCCCTTTAAAAACCCATTCTGATCCTATTTAATATATTTTTTAATAAACTTATTCATTCTATTCACAAGTATTACAGTGAATATCTTTGCATCTTGATTTAATAATGAAATAGGCCTATAGCAGCTTGGGTCTGTTAAATATTTATTGGGTTTTGTGATAAGAGTTATTAATGAATGCTTCCAAGAAGGGGAAGAAATTGATCTAATCATAAATTCAGGGACTGAAGTGCTCTATAGTCATTCTTACTCCCATTTTGTAAATTGGGGAGAGCAATCTGAGGGGTCACACACAGCCATCTATGTAGAATGGACGGCTGCTCCTGATCCCACAACCCTATCTCCCAAATTTGTTTCTTTTTTTTTTAAGGGGGGTTTTAAAACCCTTTTGCACTCCCTTGCTGGAATATATTTGCTTTAAAATTTTATGAACTGTGGATGGTGTACGTGGGTACTAGCTTTGCAGAATTCCCATACACCTGCTAGAGGGCAAAAGAGGACTTGTTTAGTTTTGACATCTGGGTGGGAGGTAGAATTTTGGGGATTTCCGGGGAGCTGTGGGTTATGTTGCCCACCCTGTTATACATTGTAAATTCTCACTATAGGATATGTATTTGATCCAATTACCCTCTTCTAAGTGAACTAGAATTTAAATTAATCTTTTTGAGAGGCCTTGTCATAAAGCAGCCCATTTTGAGAAACTTTACTGTCAGAAAATTTCTGTTGATTCTTAATCTAGATTATATTTTCATATATACTAATTCACCAGTCCTTGTTGTAATGTTACCTCTTCCAAATCTACCCATACTGTTTACAGTACTCAGAGTTTTGCACTTACATGTTTTCACCATCGTGTCCTCTGGAGATAATCATGTCTATATTGCCAGACTCATCCATCACACTTCAGTCTTTTCCTCACTCTTGTTTGCAGAACACGCTGAACTGTTGAGTAGACTAGAGAGAAAAGAAAGGGAATGCGAAATAAAGACCCAGGAGAAAGATGAAATGATGAAGACATTGAACAAAATGAAGGACAAGTTGCAGAAAGAATCCCTGGAACTGCGCCATACTCGGGACCAAATGACTGATCTTGTATCTCAACTCAGTGAATTCTCGGTAGGAGAACATCCCACTTAAAAAATACACTGATGAAAGAATCCCTGGAACTGCGCCATACTCGAGACCAAATGACCGATCTTGTATCTCAGCTCAGTGAATTCTCGGTAGGAGAATAACCCACTTAAAAATACACTGAGATTCTAATTCTGTGCACTTTCCCTTTATTTTGGAAAGGAAACAATGTTTGTAGGTGCCCATTAGCTTATCAGAAGTTGCATAAAGTATCCTATAAATTCAAAGTTAGTAGCTGTATACCTAGTGCTTCCGTTCCCCTCCCTTCTGCACTGTTTTCATTTTATATGAAGCAAAGCAAATTATTCTGCTTCGATAATGCCCTGTAGTGCTTCAAGCACTCTCTGGGCAGTTTATAGGTTAATTATGCAGGCTATGCACTGCCCCCCCTGCAAGTTGGGTACTCATTTTACCAACCTCAGAAGGATGGAAGGCTGAGTCAATCTTGAACCAGCTCTGGGATTGAACTCAGATCACGAGCAGAGCTTTGGCTGAAGTACAGCAGTTTAACCCACTGCACCACGAAGCTCTTACTCCAAAGACCAGCATATCTAACCAACAGGATTCTGCCCAAAGTGTAACAGACATATATACATGCATGTATGCATACTGTGTATATATTTCAAGGCTGCTTTTAAACCTGTCTCTGAAGCAATTTGGAAAACGATGCAAAATACTGTTTTTTCAAGAAGATCACAATGAATATCAAAATTTGATTTTATAAAAATCAAGCAGTAAATAGCAACTCCAAATGGACATTTTAATGGATAAAGATTTCCTACATAAATTGCAGAAGGCAAATTATTGTTGTTAAGTGTCCCTGAATTGCTTCCAGATTATGGTGATCATAACATGGCTTTTAAAGTATGTGAGAAGATCAAGTAGCGGATTACTGTTGCCCTAACTGGTTCAGTCCCAGGTAACCAGCTAGAGGTTGACTCAGCTTCCATCCTTCCAAGGTTGATAAATTGAGTACCCAGCTTTCTGGGAGAGCTGTGACACTGTGTAGTCTGCATAGTTAAATTGTAAACTGCCCAGAGAGTGCTTTAAGCACTATCTGGGCAGTATATAAGCAGCACGTTTTTTTTTCTTAGCCTGACACTCTGTCCCATTGCACCAGATTGGCTTTCATGAAGTTAATACTGGAAGGATAACAAATTATATGCCCATAGATATTTGGCACAGAGCCTTGAGGAATTCTGGAGAAGGAACTGAAAATGATAGACATTTTTAGGAGTAGGAGTTTTAAAAAATGCAGAAGCTAAATAGGGTGCCTTTGCTCTTGGAACAAACAGCAGCCGCCACCACTTTTTTTCTTTTTCTTTTTAAAATCCTTCTACTTTACAAACTACTTTGTGATGACCATGAGATCGCACTATTGGGAAGAACACCAGGGGCATTTGGAAGTGATTTTATTCTGAGCTGCCATGAGATCTATTTTTTTTTCATGGTAATATAGTTTATAAATGGAGTAAATACGTCTAGTATTAGAACATTCTTTTCTCTTTTTTTGCAGCAAGGGGGCACCATTTCCTTCACAGCCCCTCCTCAGCTGCCACCGGGTGGCCCGTTTGCCTTGTCCTCTTCCCTGCCATCAGAAACCTTGCCACCGCCTCCACCACCTCTCCCGTTCTCCACCTGCCCCCCTCCGCCAGCTCCGCCTCCTCCACCTGGAGGGCCTCCTCCTCCTCCTGGAGCACCACCCTGCTTCAGCATGACTGCGCCGCCACCTCTTTCCTGCATCAACACCTTCAGCAGCAGTGGGACCAGCCTTAAGAAGAAATCCATCCCCCAGCCATCCCATCCACTGAAGTCTTTCAACTGGTCCAAACTGAGCGAGGTGAGCTTTTTATTTAGAAGCAGCAGCAAAAGGCTAGAGAGTCACTTTTTGTGTGTCGTGTGTTATTTACGTGAAATTTGGATCCAAGACAATCGCTGTTGCTGTTGAATGGTTATGCCACCACAACCTGCTGGCTGGATAACACAAATGGAGTAAGTGAGCATGCACATAGCCACATATTGATGTACATGACACTTAAAAAGGTAAAGGTAAAGGTTCCCCTTGACAATTTTTTTGTCCAGTCGTGACATATTGATGTACATGACACTTACATGCCTTTAAAGTTGAAAGTCTGAGGATGATTCCAACTTTAATACTGATGCTGATCAATTTGGAATTTGTAGACATTTGGAAATCCAGTTCTGTCACAGGTCCGGACAAAACATGGGCTTTCTACCAGTCCCCACAAACAGATTTAAATTTCTGAATGTGGAGGAATCTCATCCTTAAAGGCTGGGTGCATCTGGACTTGTTTAGGAATTCTTTACTGTCCTTCCACAAGCAGGCAAACTTTCCCTTAGTGACTGACTGCTTGAGTGTGGTTATTAAATGGTTCGTTGTACCTTACTGCTTTGAATGCATTTTGGTGTTGATTTTGTTTACTGTTTTTTAGTATGACATTTTTTCCTTTTAGTATTTGTATGCTCACTGTTGTTAGGTTTAAATACTGTTTTTCAGAATTCTTTACTGTCCTTCCACAAGCAGGCAAACTTTCCCTTAGTGACTGACTGCTTGAGTGTGGTTATTAAATGGTTCGTTGTACCTTACTGCTTTGAATGCATTTTGGTGTTGATTTTGTTTACTGTTTTTTAGTATGACATTTTTTCCTTTTAGTATTTGTATGCTCACTGTTGTTAGCTTTAAATACTGTTTTTCAATTTTGTAAGCTGCCTTTGGTCCTTTTTAAGGAGAAAGGCAGGGTAAAAGTATTTTAAATAAAATAAATGTCATTTTGTGCCAGGATTTGTATCTGCCTTTACTTCCCTATTGACCATACCATCAAGACTAGATTTGCTCTGCTGCACAAGAATTTAGAACATAAAAAATAAAAACATAATTATACTTTTGGAAATCAACTATCAATTTTAAAAAGGGCATACAGAAATGCATACATATACTATACAAAAATGCACACACACAAGATGAAAATAATGTATAAAAGCACATGATGTATGGGGATGTTGCTTGCAAAAAGTGTTTGTCAGAGAAAAGTATGTACTAAACAGTAAGTACATCAGGAGAAATGTGCAATAATTTTCATGAAAAGCTTTACAAAGATTGAGAGAGAAGCAATCCCTGCTGTGGAAATAGGATGAAGAAACTGGGACGAAACCTTCCCTCGGTGGAAATCCCATGATACTGATATGTGTCTAGGCTACAGCTAGCATGTGAACACATCTACACATATCTGGTCAAACATCTGAAAGAAACTTCAGATGTTGCTGATACCACGAGGAAGAACTTTTTTGTGGTAGTCAAATGTAGACGAGTGTGACACAAGCCTTCAGGCTACAGTAGTGGCAGATAGTGAGATACAGCACTGAGAACATCGTATTCATTGCATAATCATGTATGAATACAAGTACCCTCTTTTCCCCCCACTTAAAATCCTCATAATACCCTCTTCTGGAGAGTATCTAGATTGTTTTGTGGTTTTTTTAAGGCGGGGGGGTGCACAGCAGATTGGTTCTCTCCCGACTTTACAAGCATCTCCCAACCCAATATTCCCTACCATCTCTGTTTCTCTTTTGGCCTCTTTTTTCCCGTTTTTTAAAAAAAAATACAGATAGAGTAGTGTCTGTGTTGGATTTGGGTGACTGCCTAGAAATCCAAGTTCTTTTTTAGGCTCCGAGTCACTCAGGGCTCAGCGCAGGCATTTGGAATGAGTGTCCTGGGACCTCTGGAATGCCACAAGAATGCTCTCTCTCTCTCTCTCTCTCTCTCTCTCTCTCTCTCTCTCTCTCTCTCTCTCTCATTCTCCTGTTCTTTTAAAATAAGATGTTGCTGCCTTTTTTCTTCATTTTTCAGTGGAGGGCTGAATGCTTCACAGCAAAGATGTAACACAGAGAGAGACAGAGACAGAGACAGAGACAGAGACAGAGAGAGAGAGAGAGAGAGAGAGAGAGAGAGAGAGTAAGGTGGGGGGAGGATGTGAAGCAAAGGAAGACACAGGTGTTTCTGTTTAGTGTAGGACAGCCACAGTCTCATCCTTCATTCTAATTAAGAGTGAAGGCAGCTGTGCTAATAAAGCTGGGGGTGAGGTGGGAATTCAGGAGGTAAATGAAATATGTTATTTGGGGGTTGAGAGGAAAGATGTGATAAAGTTTGTTCTGTGTTAATGTTTTTGGCTTCTAAAGCATTGCCATTTTCTAAGATGGTTCATCAGTTAAAAGTAAAATGAAATTGTAAGGTTATTGTTATTGTTGTTATCCTTGTTGTTGTTGTTGTTGTTGTTGTTGCATGCTGTGAGCTTCTCAGTATTGGGAGAAGGGGTATTGATCATACAGGTGACATACAGCTCCAGTTCAGACTTTTGTCTGTGAAAACTAGGGAAGTAGTGTAAGTTTTAAAATGACATTTGAAGGCAAATGAAGTTAGGTTTAGGGTTAGGGTGTGACAACATTGTTTTAAAAATGCGGGAATGACTTTATTTATTTTATTTTATTTTATTTATTTTATTTATACCCCGCCTATCTGGTCATTGCGATCACTCTAGGCGGCTAGATTACATATTTGGAGTAGGGTAGTTCATATTTTTCTATCAATTTATTTATTATTGGTTATTGTGGGTTTTTCGGGCTCTTTGGCCATGTTCTGAAGGTTGTTCTTCCTAATGTTTCACCAGTCTCTGTGGCCGGCATCGTCAGAGGACAGCACTCTGTGTCTGGTGGAGTGGAGTGACCAGAGCACAGAGTGCTGTCCTGAAGTTTGGGTTTCAAACATCCAAGTTATACACTTACAAAATGGGTCTCTCCAGGAAAGTGCCCTTTAGCAGTTGATTTAGGGAATGCCTGGGGAAAGCTTTCCTAGGGTGGCTCTTCGTGGGTGTGTAACCCAGACATCTGAAATCCAGTCTTCATCAAACTTGGAGGAATTGTAGAGGAGAGGGAGAAAAAGCTTTCATGCATTACTATTGTATTTAAGTGCCTTGGAGGATGTTTTATAGCCAAATGAATTAATGAATCAAAAATATATTAAATTCTTTGATTCATGATTCATTGGGGGCATAGATTCATACACATACAAATCGACAAATTAACATTTTTGAATGAATTAGGTGATTTGTGTTTTAATTTTTGCCCATCTCCACTACACAGCAAATTAATGTGAGTGATTTTACATTTTCCTCACTGTGTAGTAGCTGTCTGCATCTAGAGAAGATGGTGGTCCTGTGAGTAGAGTGTTCTGCCTATCTGGATGGAAAAATGTAGCTTCTATCAGGTAGGGCTGTACGTCTATGCATTTGAACTCTGATGTATAGCTTGATGGTTCTCTTAAACGCATATGGAAGGTGTTCAGCTTCCTCTCCTGCCGTGCATAAAGGGTCTAGGACTCACTGCAGTACAGGAGTGTGCTCAGATCACAGGATCTATAGACCTGGATCTTGGTATATGTCGTCAGCTTCTTATTGAGCCATACTCTCTTTGTGAGTCTAGAGAACATGGTAGCTGCTTTGCCAGTGCATTTATCCAGCTCGACATCTAGAGAGAGGGTGTCAGAGATGGTTGAGCCAAGGTACACAAAGTCATGAACAAGTACAAGTAGCTCCAGAGCTAATGAAGTGGTTGGGCCAAAGCCGATGCCAGTGCATTTATCCAGCTCGACATCTAGAGAGAGGGTGTCAGAGATGGTTGAGCCAAGGTACACAAAGTCATGAACAACCTCCAATTCTTGTGTGGAGATGGTAATAGAGGGAGGTGAGTCCACACCCTGGCTCATGACTTGTGTTTTCTTCAGGCTGATTATTAGTCCAAAGTCTTGGCAGGCCTTGCTGAAACAATTCATGAGTTGTTGGAGGTCTTCAGCAGAGTGGGCAACAATGGCTGCATCATCTGCGAAGAGGAAGTCCCGTATGCATTTCAGTTGGACTTTGCTCTTTGCTCTCAATCTAGAGAGATTAAAGAGCTTTCCGTCTGATCTAGATAGACACCTTCTGTTGCAGTTCCAAAGGCATGCTTCAGCATGACAGCAAAAAAGATCCC